ACTATTGAAGGCTTCTTGGATGGTAGCTGGTTCTTCGATGATTGCTGAGAATACAACATGTCTTGCTTCTGTGACGTCAGCATACTCATCCAAGCCAAATCGAGGTGGTGGTACCCCTTTTGTTGATCTTTGAGATCGTCGAGGATGGCTTTCTTCTGCATCCGTGTTCCCTTTCGTAGGCTCTGTTTGTCGTTTATCTTCCTCTGCTGGTTCTGGACCCATCTTCAAATACTGTTTTTGAGATCCAAAATCATTTTCATTGAAGTTAACGTCTCTTCTGATCACTATTCTCTTGCTCTGCATATCAAAGAGTCGGTATCCTTTCTGGTTTGCACTGTAGCCCAAGAATCGAAGTCTGTTGGCTTTCTTGTCCAACTTTCTTCGCTCAGCCTCTGGAATATGAGCATAAGCTATGCAGCCGAACACACGAAAGTGGGAGACATCAGGGGGTTTTCCATACCATTTTTCATACGGTGTTTGACCTGATGCGCTGGTTATAACACGATTCCTTATGTAGGCTGCAGTGTTGACTGCTTCTGCCCAGAAGGTCTTGCTGAGTCCGGCATGGTTCATCATCGCTTTTGCGGATTCAACGAGAGTCCGGTTCATGCGCTCAGCCACTCCATTCTGTTGTGGAGAGTGAGGAACAGAAGTTTCGTGTTTGATACCTTTCCTTTTTAGAAGATTTTCAAATTCATTTGATACATACTCTCCGCCATTATCTGTACGCAAGGTTCCAATTTTACATGCAGCTTCATTGGTTGCAGAGGCTTCAAATTCTTTAAACCTCTTTAGTACCTCAGACTTCTTTCTAATAAAGTAGACTTTGACACATCTCGAGTAGTCATCAATGAATGTGACAAAATAACGCTTTCCCGAAAAGCTCTGTATTGACATTGGTCCACATACGTCGCTGTGAACTATCTGTAATTTTCTAGAAGTCTTGATCCCCTCTGTTGACTTGAAGGGTTTTCTGCTCATCTTACTTTCCGCACACCCTGTGCAAAAGTTCAGTTCGTCATTTCCTTGGATGGCAACTCCTTTGATGAGCTTCTTCTTGACTGATTCCAATAGCTGTTTTCTATTTATATGTCCTAGCCGTTGATGCCAAATATCCATCGTGCTAGGGTTGCTATTTTCCATCCTTTCAGATTGGTGATAAGCTGCTGTTATATCTGTTTCGCAGCTCAGAACGTACATTCGCTTAACGAGTCTTCCTTTGCCTACAGCCTTACCGTCCGAGTCTTTTATCCAGCAACAAGTATGTCCGAACTGAACAATGAGTCCCTTCTGTGTCACAGCTCGCACACTGAACAGGTTGCAAGCTAGTTTCGGAACATAGAGTACATTATCCATTTCAATTGTCAGCTGCTTGTTGTGGCTTGTTTCCATGGTTATTTGAGCTCGTCCTGATCCACGGGCTTCCACTGTATGTCCGTCACCCAGTTTGACTAATTCAGGCTGGTTGAACTCTCTGTAGTTAATCAAAAGCAGTTTGTTTGAGGTCATATGCTGCGAGGCACCCGAATCCAGAATCCATTGTCTGTTTGTCTCATTTTCTGTTTGTTCATTTTCAGCTAGAAAGAGTTGAGAGTCTGAGTCATCATCTTCCTCCTTTCCTGCAGTCTCTGCATTATGTGTTTCATTTTTAAATGAATTGCTGGGCCTCACTTGCTTCCTTTTGTGACATTCAAAGCTTTTATGACCCTCCTTGCCACAGTTGTAACATTTGCTTTTGAAAGGCCTGCTGATGCCCTTTTCCAAATGTAATGCTGAGTCTCGATTAATTTTAGTCGTTGCGGTTGCTTTGAAGGCCTGTTTTTTCTGCTCTTCATTGATAAGGGCTTGCTGGACGAAGGCCAGTGATAGTTCATCTCCTTTAGCTTCCAGAGCTGTAACGAGTGTTGTATAGCTTGGTGGAAGGCTTATGAGCAATGCCACGACTTGCTCTTCTTCAGCTACTGTAGACCCGAGTGCATGGAGTTTATCAGCAATTTCCTTCATACGTTTCAAATGATCTTGGACCGATTGCCCTTCAAGCATTTTTGAAGTAAAATATTGTCTCTTGAGAAACAGCTTGTTGGCTATCGTATCCCTCTCGAAATAGGCTTTGAGAGTATCCCACAGGTCCTTCGGTGTTTCGCATGATGTCACCAAGTAGATAAGATTCGACTGAATTCCCATTACCAACGTCGCCATTGCCTTTTGCTTGGCCTTTTCGTATGTAGCTCTAGATGCTGTATTATCGTCAGGTAATGAAATCGTTCCATCTACGTGATCCCACACATCTTTCGCCATCAACAAATGTTTCATTTGAAACTTCCATGTAGGCCAGTTTGACCTATCTAATTTTTCGATTTCGAATTTATCTCCAATTCCAGCCATGTGCAGTGGTTTGGTTCTGGGCCCATAACCTGTTGTTTTGAGATTCTATCGACTCGTTCACTGCGAAACATGCAACTGACTAAACTCTACGTGACGCGTGCTAAAAAGTTCTACCTCAGCGATCATTAGAACTTTCTAGAAGCTTCTAATTAGCTGACAATAGAGCAGCAAGCAATCTACTCTAACAACGCGTCCTACACTAGCTACTAATTACGAAGGTCATTAGTTTACTTACAAACGCAGCAATTACGTAACTGTTGAGTGCACGTTCCCAACAGGATGTGTCAACTGAAATTGTTTCCTTTCATAAAACCTCCAACACGTTTTCGGTCGAGAGGTGTAAACATTTTCTGGACATTGATATAAAGTTTGGGAATCAAAGCTTCATACTCACAGACACAGTGTACTTCTTCGTTTCTAGATCTTGTTTAACAGTGTATTTCATTTTGGTGGTAAACATTCCCTTTTCACTATTAACAGTGACAAAATATCGCAGATCATCACCACCCTTGGTCAATGGCTCGTTCCATAAAATTGTCACTGATGCATCAGAGTTTGTCCTTTTAGTAAGATTCTGAACCTCCGAAGGCACTGAAAATGAGATATAGTACATAAACCAACGAAACATCTATTGGGATATTTACCCAAAGTAAACGAATGTAAAATCAACTCAAGAAAAAAATGTTGAAAAGCTCAACTTTCTCATTTCTCAACTTTCTCACTCACATCCTGATCCAGTCAAAACTGAAGTGCTGTTGTACTGAGCCTTGTCGAAGCCGATGGCAGCAGTGACATTGTTGATGGAATAGACCCTGACGTCATATCGTGTGTAGGCGCTCAGGCCAGTGAAATTGAAAAGAAGGTTAGATGTTGTAAAGTCCGGGGGAATTTTACATTCAGTACAGCTTGCTTTTATCATGTATTTCAGTTTGTCTCCAGTCCCTTGGTTCATGGGGACCGTCCATTCTAATAAGATCCACTTTGATCCAATCTGTTTTGCCCTAACGACATTTGGAGCAGATGGTGGCGCTGTTGAAAACCATATTGATTTACAATTTGTAAGATTAAAAATGATGATAATAAATTGAGAATCAAAAATTGAAGTCTTAATAAGCCAAAAAGACAAGAATATATTTCACCTGGCTGGATAGCGCGTTGCAAATTCAGATGGCAAAAGAATAGAAGAGAAATAATTAGAAAGCATTAGAAAGCAATAATCTAAAAAGGACCAGAGTCGAAAATGAAAAGTGTTGCATAATTCATGTATATAGGGAAAAAGATTCTATTAGGGCGCAAAATTTGTTTATAAAATCAAAGAGTGAGCTTTTTAGTGCCATTGATATATAACTGATATTTCGCCCCTTTGTGCATCCACTGCTAAATTAAGAAATAAATTGAATATTTACAATAGTATGATGTCATTGAGAAGGTTTGATATGAATCGTGAGTGAAACAAGTGGCTTAAATGACCTTGTAGCCACTTGTTTCACTGTTTCACATTTATAGGCAAGGCAAGTCTATTCAATTCGTTTTACAAGAAATTGATAATCTTTTTTGACTAAGCTCACCTTCACAGTCGACAGTTGGAACACTTTTAGATCGAAGTGGCCTGTAATATCCATTGATGCATTTACAAGGTGTTGTCCTGGGCTTCAGTCCGTCCTCAACATTTGCACCACATCTGGTGCATTTAAAGTTGCCAGCAGCACTTTTGAAACTTTTTGCGGGACATTCTGTAAAAACATAGCAAAGTAGAACAAAAAGTTATCATCATAAGACTCCTTTGAATGCAATGGGTAAAAGTTTCAAGAAAACTGATAGATATAAGCCCTAGCCATCTAAAACTAAAGCCAAATTTTATTTTATTTGAATTAGACGTAGAAGCTGCATTCAAGAATCTAAATTGTGTAAAAAAAAGGAGTTTATTAAAATGGGCTACTTATTCATAAAGAGGAGGTGACCTGAATATTGGGTTACCATCTTTCGAATCTTTAAACGCTGTTGTAAAGGTCAGAGAACTACGATCAAGTTTGTGTTATAATGTATTAATATGAAACATTATACACTTATTCATAGATATTGCAGCTGCAATTTCCATAACTGTTCGTTCTCTTTAAGATCTTAGGAAGTTATTTTAAAAGTTAGCTCCTTATAAGCACCTTACATTGATAAATATCTCAATGAGTTAACTTGCATTGAAAAAGGTAAAAAGTTAATTCAAATTTTTATAACACATACAGTAGATGAACAATTGACAAAATTAATTAACTGAAAATACAATATTCTGGATATTTTATTCCTTTAATAATTTCGCAGTCTTAGGAACTAGAAATCGATCCAACCAATCAAAGTATCAACCAACAGAAGATAAAACAACTTTTTATCATAGTTTTATCATTTTATTAAACGTCTAAATATGTATGCTCAGGGACCGCGGAAAAGGAGGGGCTACTGGGGCTATGCCCCCTCCCAATATTTTCCAAAATTTACTTAAACCATACCAAAATCGCTCTGCTCTTGGCTTTTAGCATGTTTAGCCCCTCCCAAAACGTTTTAGCCTCCTCAATCTATAATATGCTCCACGGTCCTTGTATACGCCAATTTTTTTTACTCACCATGGCAACTGGTAAAGAAATGATTTTCATATCCAGCTTTGCAATGACAGCCACCATTCACCTTGGTGGAACCATTTGTATAACAAAACATGTAATTGGCTGCTTGTGAAATTTGGACATCAGCATTGGTAAAGCATGTTCCAAGCACCTTTCGGACTGAAACTGTGCTGTTTGGAGCTGCAGTTCTAAGTGGAAATGACATTAATTCCCCTGCTGAGCTTGGACATTCAATGTAACTAAGATGAAATGAATCAAGGCTTCCACAAATTCCTTGATCTCTAAAAGCAATAAAAAGTCCAGTCCTTCCTTCCATTCCAATGGTAATAGCTGATGTAAACTGTGCTCTAGATGAAGGATTCATTGATGAGGTATTCTTTAAAGCAGAAATGTACTTGAAGCTTTGAGCACTGGGCGCAGATGTTTCACCAGAGCCCAAAAGGACATAGACACCAATGGACAATTTGGCTGAGCAGCAGTTAAAAGTATAAGTAACTCTGAGGGTTATCTGTTTTGCTGGATTTGTAGTGATAAATGGTGTTCTAACATTACCATCTACGACACCATTACTTGTTTCACAAGCAACGAACCCGGTCTTATCTGTCTTCAGACTCCACTGAAAAAAAAAGAAAAAAAATGAGTGTCAGATGATTTGGTGCCTGATTTAAATTCATTACTTAGCATTGAAAGATAATGCACTTACTCGTAAAATTTTTGTGCAATAGCAAAAGATTACACTAAAAATTTTCAAGTAACAACCACTGATCTAAAAAAAACAGGATCAAACAACCTTTTGTTCTCCTACATCCACACAAAGGAAGCGATCGAATTTCTCCATCTTGAGACCTCTCGCGCTTAAAGCTTTGGCTGCCATTTGTTAAAATGGTGCACACTCAGTGCTGCGCTTTAAATTGTGCATTTATCATTAAATTCCTAAATATTCTAAGAGAAAACAAGCCTAGGAAAATAAGTGAACAGTGGATTCTCCGTTACATAAGCTTACTACCACGGCAAAAATGTTTAACACCATTTACGAATGCTGCAAGTTTTTGTTTCAACGGTTGCTTTGAATTTTGCTATGAAAAATCAAGTTGAAATAAAACCAATATGATTGAACTCTAGTCGCATACAACACGGCAAGGTCTCAAGATGGATGCTGCTATGTGGATTCAACTCTGGGCTGGAGAAGCTCGATCCAGTCTTCTTTTGAGATCAGTGGTAACAACACATCAGAAAGAAGATATTCTAATGATATCTATTCGGGTAAAGTGGTAGCTATTCACATCATTCCTTAATCCCTAGATTTATCAACCCAAAAGGCCAACATTACATAAGCAACATGTCAGATAAACACTTCCGGGAATTAAATTCAATTCTCAGTAAATTGAACAAAAATTAAAAATATAGAGAGCTTAAACCAGCTATAAAGGAACAATTTTCATAGTTTCATGCTATGCATCGTATGAAGGGAAATAATGTAGTCCAGTGGCTGGAGAAGGAGCTTTACCACCTTGAAGGAAACTTTATGAGACCTACTTTTTCTAGGGTAGTTTTTGGTGCAGAATTCGAATCTGAGTGTAGTCTGAGTGAGGACGTTTGTAGCGCTTTTCCGAGATACGGGTGTTTCAAAGCTTTCTAGGATGGTTTCTTTTATTTTACTGCAAAATTTGTTTTTATGACCTGTAAGCACTGTAAAGGCACTTAGATCAGTAAAAAATAAGTAAAGAGACTTGTTTGTTGCCATATGGCTCAATTCCGTTTCATTAGGGAATGATCAGGCCGAAAATTTCCGAGATGGCATCACGTCCGTTCTACGTATTCCAGTGAGAAATTGACAATTTTGAATAATTTTTCAATTCAATATACCCAGCCTCTCACATCTAATCGCAATTTTCGTCATCAGAGACTTCATCTAAACTAATTGCAGTTTCATCGTCATTGCTGACAAAAAGGTCACAAATATTTTCCGGGTAAGCTTCCAAATTCAAACCAACGGATAAACCGGCGTGGGTCAGCCTGCAGCTACCCTGGGTACCAGACTCACTCTAGTTTAAGTAAGAGTGAGATTGGTACCCAGGGTACCCTGCTGCATGCTGTAAGTTGATGCTTTTCTTGTCTCTAAATTCTAGCCACCAGGAAGGGGGGCACGGGATGGCACGGGGGTGGGTGTAATAACATTCTTGAAGAAAAGTTCCGTTCTAGGAGGAAAAAGGCGAATTAAGGATTGCTCGCTCATTTGGTCTGGATATGGGTCTTGGAAAAACCCCTTTGAGCACAAGTAAATTTGTAACTTTCTCATCCATTGCGAAACTTCTCGAGAAGACTTCTCGGTAGGCGTCATCTATACAGGTGTGTTGTCTTTCACCAAACAAGTCACAGGCAACAATCAGTGGTGCAATAACATTTTCTTGGCTCTCAGCTGACACACCAAGCTCTGCAAATGTAGACAAGAACTCTTGTTTACTTTTTGCTAGTTCGATAATCATTTCCACTGTAAGAATGCAAGCCTAGAAAAGTTGCCTCTCCTAGTGAAGAAAGTTCACATGAAACTAATGTTAAGATCTTTGGATTCTTGCCACTGCCACTGTCTATGAAGACTGCAAGGTTTAGAACTTCATTGGGGACAAGGAATTGGGATATCTATCTTCAAAGATCTTGACAGAAGAACATAATTAGTAATGCCACTACTTTTTCTTGTCAATGCTTGGTGTAGCAGAAAGCATTTCCTTTTGTCCGCTGCTTCGTGCTTGGCTTGAAGAGCTTCAATTCGTGTCGTTCTTCTTCTACAAATCTGGTGCAGCAAATTTGGAGGGGATATTCAGATTCTGCAACAACCAAGAGTTACTTTTGTTGCCACCCAAACCTCCTCAATTACTCCAAAGAGTCGATCTTTTTCTTTCGGTTGCAGAGGAACCAATAGCAGTTTGTGGGATGCACTTGCTTAAGTGTTTTACAAGCTGAGGATGTCTACACTACTCAGATTGGCTGCTTCTTCCCTTGAATGCCTTTGCAGACGGACACTTTATGGGAAGTCTCGGGAAGAGGCTTCCAGTAAACATAGCCTTGTTTCTTTTTTCAAAGGGAAATGCTTTTTGTAGTAGTTTTGGCCTTTTCATCTTTATTTTCTTCCACTAAAGTGGATTTTGTAAAGTGCTGGTCGAGGGGTGTATCACTCCAAAAATGCTCGTACACCCTGCCAAAGATCCGCAAAATTCCACTAAAATCCTTTCAAAAATCCAGAGATCCGCAAAGAAAATAAAATTCCGAAAATCCAATCAGACTCAGAAATGAGCAAGAAATGTCCGGTACCAAGTCAAAGAAATAAGGCCAAACTCTGGCAACATCAGCGTTGAATCACATAACAGACTTACATTTTGGACTAAAAATCTTTTGGATCAATCAAAGACATCATCGAACGATACGGTTGATGATCTGGACAATGATCTGGATGATTTAGAACAGTGAATACAGAGACGTTCCGTTGTTGTTGCTGTTACCGTTCCTCATCATAGTTCCTCGCTGGCTGACAGTCATCTTTGATAACACTAGTTCTTGTTCCAGTCGTCCCTTTATTTTTGTGCACCAACAATCCCTTTCTTGACAAAAAGAAACGTGAAAAAGCCACCAACCCTTGATTTCGCAAAAGCCTACCTCGGCAGCGCAGATGCGCAACGTAACGAGAACGTAACATTAGAAAGCCTGGAGACCAATGCCTATTTAGGAGAGAAGATGATCCTTCCAAGTCATTGTTAGGGAGAATACTATCATTTTCGTGCTTAAAGGGCAATGAAAGGGAAATGAAAGGGCAAGAGCTACCTAGGAAAATGTAGCCAAACCATAGTTTAAAATTTTCAAGCATGATGAGATGACAGAACGATATATGCTCTAAGAACTTTAACGCAACTCAATCGAGCCATTGTATAAAAAGATGACTCGATCCAGACTCTTTTGTGGAATAGCTGAATGGTCCATTAAGTAATATATGATTCAATGAAAGTTGCCAAAACTTGATATCGTTGGAAGATAGAATGTATTTTAAAATGGTATGCGTCAAATGGATTCAAATGTCATCATTTTTTGAAGAATCCCGAGGTGGTGTTTCTGACACCCTGTCCACCCTGTATTATTGTTATACTTTTTATATAGTTATTTCGTTGAGATATGTTTTAAGTTAAAATGACATGGCTTAATAACTTGTTTTGATAATGTTTTGATAAGTTCTTTTCACAGAACTGCATGAATAAATAAAAGGTGTCAAATAACATTTGGCGATAATCGGAATTGTCGAGTAAGGAGGCATAATGAAGCTAAATGACTTTTCTTTAAGATTTTCGGAGGAAAAATCCGAAAAACTTGCTCAAAATCTGAAAAAATCCGCAAATCCAAACCCGAAATTGACGGATTTTTAAATCCGAAAAGATCTCGTACGCCTTTTTTTTCATGGAGTGATACACCCGTCGGTCCTGGTAGCAAGATCTATGAACAAAGTGCTCTCCTAGAGTAACTGTTCGGGTATTCCTCTAATCTGCTTTTCGCGATTATGGGATCCTCAAAGTTTGATTCTGCTTTTCATGATTATGGGTTCCTTAGGGTTTAATTTTTGCATCTCTGCTTTTCAAGAGCCTATCATAGGTTTTTGATGTCAAAGGGGTAAAGTTCTTATTTACAAATTCCAAATTCCCATAGTGAATAACAAACATTTCTTACTTCTTTCTGCCATATTTTACATGATTCTTTCTCATCCCAAGAAAGATATGAAAAGGAAACGTCGTGCATGGTTTGTAACAAGCATCACCTAAAATATTTTATGGTCTTCAAATTATATTCTGGAATTAAAACATTGATTAAAGGCCAATTTGAAGAAAAAGTCCTGGAGAACAGAATCTTCCTTTGTTTTAAGGGTTCCACGATAAAATCTTCCTATCCATGATAATCTATGTGAAATATAAACAGAACTGAAAGAAAGAGCCTAGCAATATTCCAAAACAACGAGTCAAGATTTCACGTGGCAGCATATGGGCAGTAGGTCAACAAGCTACTCTTTCTTGTGAAACCGAGAATTATTCCGTCTGGATATTTCATATCATTAGGACCTTTTAAAATATCTTGAGTACTACAAGAAACAACTACAGCAAGGCTTTGTGCACTAATGATTTCGCATGATTTATACACGTAATAACTGATTCAATAACAGCACACTAAACTAGAGGTTTTTGTGTAAGCTCTCCCCCCAATAATCGGTATGGCCCAAATGATAAAAACAATTTGATTTTTGTAGGTTTCATTGATATATGCCTGTTTTTAGCACTGTTTGAGCTCTAAATACAAAGTATATCGTTATCTAGAGACACCAGTCTAAAAAGAATTATACCTCCTGTATCTTTGAAAAGCCCCCTAAACGGTCTGATCAACACTCAGATTCGAAATCTATATAAAAAACTACCCTAGAAAAAAGGGATCCGGTAAATTCTCCTTCTAGGTGGTAATGCTCCCCCTCCAGCCACTGGACTAAAGTAACCAAGAATCAGATATTTTAGTCTATATATGGGTGGTCGATCTCGCTTATGAGAACAAAGCATTATTGTTTCATTATCTTGAATTTTGCGATAACAATAG